CCTATCTTGAACTTCGCCTTTGGATCATGTCTTGAATCCTATTTTAAATGCACTAGAGCAGTGCTGGGGATGGCCCAGGGCTCCATGGTACCACCATGGAGAACTGTCTAGCATGCTCCTGCAGCACCTACTCTGCAGGCATTGCAGAGGAAACAAGTCTCTGTTACAGATGGAAGAATTGTCCTCTGAGGTTTGGTTATATCTGAAAAGGTTCACTTCCAGGTCAGTATTTCATCTGATCCTCTACAGGCGGGGAAGTCCAAAGTTTAATCTAATTTCTAAAGTGAGTGAAATGCCACATGATTGTGGGAAATATAGTTAATTACAGAAGAAACACTCACCGGAGGCCTTGACTGTGCTGCTGACCTTTGGGGTGACCGAAGACACGCTACCTTCCCCTTGCCCCACGGTGAACTGTGGACAAGACCTAAACTGACCCCCAAATGCAGCACCATGTAGCTGAAGGTATCTTTTGTCATCTCCAGGCCCCTCTTTGATACACATAAAGTAGCCAAGAAAGAACTGCCTTTAACCCAAAGAGTTCTTTTCAAAACAAAGCAGAAGAATCAAGTTCCCATTCTTAATATAAATGATCAAAATGACAAATTGAGGCAATGTGATTTCATTCTGTACCAGTGATTCTCAGTCAAGGTTCCTTTTTGCACCCTCTCTTCCAGGAGTGAGGGGACAATTGCAATGTCTGCAGACATTTCTGGTTCATGCCCACTGAGGGGTGCTACTGGCATCTAGTGGATAGGAGCCAGGGATACCATAAAAACATCCTATAGCACACGAGACAGCCACCCATTCCCACACGCACAAAACAAAAAATTTTCTGGCTCAAAATATTAGTAATGGCAAGTTTGAGAATCCCTAATGTAAACTGAAGAGAAAAAGCAAAACTTCTCAACTGCAACACATCATAAATAGCACATTTCTCACATTGTGTGCTGGGGTGAGCTGATTGTGCATTTGTGTGGTGTCCACACTGGCCCATCAAAACATGTTTGTTATAAAACCCCTGGAGAATACTGCCTTCCAGATTCAGCAGATTCGAGACAAATAACATCCTGTTCATTTAGAAAGAGCCAACTCAGGGGATGCTCACCCTGCACCAGAGATTTTTTTCTTGACAACTCTTCTTACTCTTGTTTTTAGTAAATGACCATTCCTGAACCATTTGCAAACATGCCTTATCTCCTGCAATGTCATCTTTTTTGTTTGGTGTGTTTTTTTCATTCCAGGCAGACGGTGCCCAGCGTAATAGTCTTGGACAGACATTCTTCCTGTCTGGAGTATTTTCTTCCTGTCTAGGGTATTTTAGTTACGGCTCTAAAGTTTGTAAAAACGTTCTTTCTCTAAAAAAATATTCTTGAAAATCAATAAACTTCAGAAAATGAAAAAGGCTGGTCAGGGGCTTCAGATATGGGGCGTTTGTTTGCAAGAACAGATACGATAAGGCAACCTCAAACCACATGTGATCTGTTGTCTCAAGATTGTCTCGGGGTGAAAAAGAAAACTGAACAATATATTGGTCATGAAAATAAACAGTGGGCCATCCCAGAAAGGAAATTAGGAAGTGGGCCAAAAATAATGTTTAACTAACTTTGTGTTCCCCTCTGTTCCCGTTTTATTTCTCTGGGGCTGAGCAGGGACCCTTGGAGTTACTCAGTGGCTGGTGATATCTACCTGTGCTTGTTTGGGTGCAGAAATGAGATCAAAGGCAGCGGGGATGCTTATTGGGAAAGGATGTGGGTAGCAGTGGGCAGAGCTAATAAGCACTGAATGCAGTTTCTATGTGCTCAATTATTTTTTTAAAAATATAAGCAAAAGTGAAGTGTTAGAAAATCTGTGATTAGTATATCCTGCATTTTCTGAGGCAGATGGGCCAGTTTCTATCATGGCAATATGCAATTTGTCAATGTGCAATAAACGTTATAGCTACTCTCCAAATTTCCAAACGTTGCGTGTTCATTTCCCCCCAAGGTATGGGGCTGTTTCCCATGAGGAAGATGTATCCACTGGAGAAGTGTCAGAGAACAGAGATCACTCCTCTTTTTGCACCACCTACAAGAAAAGATCTTTTATCAAAAGCCAAACCCATTTTCATTCACCCTTGGTTATGCTATTTCCTCTTCTTGGAATATTCCCAAGTCACCTGCTCCCCCGTCAACACCACTGTTTGCCACCAGCTCATCTTTTTCCAGCCTAGTTAACTTCTATCCATCCTTCAAAACCCAGTTCAAAATCACTTTCCCCTACTTCCTCGGAAGGAGATATTATTCTGTCCCTTATCTCTACTGTAGGATCACCTACATGTTTTGCTGTATCACCTTTTACCTACTTACTCTGATAATGAGATTCATGAATGCATGCAGTCCATGCTACTGTGATCTCTATCAAAGTGGTCTGTCCAAAGAATGGTATAGGGTCAGCTTCAAAGTGGCCATCAGCATGTAAGTATCAAATAAATGAAGGAAGAATGAGATGGTGGAGAGGTGGAGAGAGCTAAATGAAGTAAGAAATAATTCATCTTTTAACATCCTTCTCCCTCTAATTTAAAAAACCCCTGTCCAGACATATTAAGTCTCTGTGTGCAATTTGATTTCTGATCATTGTGCTGTGTTGCACTGGTACTAAATATATTGTTACAAACCTACTGGGGCTTGACAATCTATTATTATTTATTTGTAATTTTCTTGCATTATACTTAAAATTCAGTACTGTGGTGTCGAGCCTTCTGTACATGTTGAGGCTTGATTTGTAGTCAGCCTACCTAAAGGTTCCAAGTGTTTTCAGAAAGGGTGTGTGCTGGATATGAATTCCTTTTCAACATATTAGCTTTAGCTATTTGATTTCTTAGTTTGGTGAGCTGATATGAAAATCATTATGATTATGGATTTTTTTTTTTTGCATTTCCCTTTGCAATTCTTTCAATTTCTTTATATTTTTAAGACCATGTGTCATATACATAAAAGCTCAAAGTTACTAGATTTTCCTGGTAAAAAATTAATTTCTAATTATTATGTTACAGTCATGTTTATCAATAATAATGAAAAGATTTATATTTGATTTATTCTCTTGGCTAGAATTTGTAAACGATGTGTTTTTACTTAAAATATTTCTCTCACATTATGTTTTAAATGTTTTTTGTAAAGATTTTTTAAATGACTTGAAAAATCTCTTTGATGAGTTAGAATCTTTTACAGATCAATAAGGATTTTTCTAATGTATTCACCATGGTTTTAGTTGCTTCTTTTTTCTCCTGTCCTAGTTTTTATTAGTTTCATCACATTTCTATTTTCAGTTATATTTTATACATTTAGATTATATTTAATAGATCTTGTAATTTCCATAGTATAGTTCTAATAGAATTTACTGCCAAAATTAACTAACACCTTTAGAACATTTCTAGTAAAATATTAATGACTGCTGAATTTAGAAAATGTTCAATTTTTAATAAGACACTTTTTGAGGGGTTCTTTTGTAGCAAGTCCTATCTCAGTGCGCCTGTAGATGAATCATGGCATTCGTCCCTGTGAGAACACAGGTGCTCCTGGGATGGCCTCTCTGCATTCCTGCTAAGAGAGCATTGTCACATGCTGCAGCTGTATGCACTCAGAACATTTCCCTATTTATATAAAATACAATTTTGAGAGGGTTTTTCTCATCACTTTTTGAAACAGTATAACAGGTGATTTGCATGTGATAAGCTAAAATGCCAATAGATGATTATACTTTAGTTTTATTGCATGGAGACATGGTTATCAGTTGCTCTTTTTAATTGATTAGCTTACTTTCCTTCTCTACCTTTGATCACCTGTGAGTTCCATTAGGCGGCAAGCAGCTTTGTCTCATTTACCACTTTATATCCACCCAATGACTAGTCTGTGTGAACAAGGAAGTCAGAGGGATGCCATTTTTCTTAAGTAGAGCTGTAATGAGAATCTTCTCACATAGTGACCACATTTGTCATCCTGATTTTTTGTTACAAAGTTATAGATAGGCCTCCCAATCTGTTTAAAAAATACTGTCTGCATTTCTTTCTTTCTTTAATCAAGGTTAAAAGCTTTTAAGGACTTTATATATCTTATTTTAATTTTGTAAAACTTTAGAGCCTTTTCATGTAGATTTGTATGCCCTTGATATGCTATCTGCAATGCTTTTTGGCCTACCATGGTCATATTTACATGGAAAGGAATCCCCCACTTCTACATATTGAACTTTTTTAATAACAGTTTTTTTCATTTTGTCTTGTTTTTCACTCATGACTTGACACATGACCTTGTCATAGGAGGACTTATATCTGAATGATCAGAGAGAACACTGTCCTTCCTTGTGATAACTGGAACACTTAATAACTAGCTAGTGAGAATAGCCCTTCAGCCAAGCTGGAGGGACTTTCATCTTACTTCTCCAAGAGCTATCCCAGGGTCTATTGAACACAGACCCTGTCTCTGGGGAAGCCAATCCCATTGGTAGCCTGCAATCTCAGCTAAATCCTTTATGTTACTTAAATGCCTGGTTTTGGAAGTAGCTCAAAGCCTTGGAACTTTTTAATTATCCCATAATCGTGTCTTATTTATACCTACCTGGATATTCTACAGATAGATGGAACTTTGGTTACAAGACTACAATAATTGAGTTCTGCCTTTCAGGACTTGCAGAGCTAAATGTAGGTTGCAACAATCAGCTCAGACTAGCTTCGGTTTGCGAACACTGCCCTGTGTGGGGTGTGAGAGTCACATTCTTTCACTGATGGAATGTCCCAGTAATCCCCCTGTTTCTCTGTCTTCCTTTTTGACTGGGGTATTGTGGATCCATGGAGGATTTCAAAGATCAAAGTACATTTCTACTTGTTCCAGGTCTGTTTAGAACTCTGCCTCACTGGCAGGAAAGTAGGACCCTTGTTTCTTAACTTTATACATGTGTTTCATGTTCAGCCACCCACCCCCCACATAACTGCATTTTCTGACACTTTGCTTCTCTTTGGAGCACAGGTCCACACCTTCCGAGGCCCGCACTGGTGTGAATACTGCGCCAATTTCATGTGGGGACTCATCGCACAGGGCGTCCGCTGCTCAGGTAGACATGAAACTTCCCTCCTCCTTTTCAAAGTATGCGAAGTGCGCTATGCTGAGCGAGGGCGCATCTTTCCAGAAATGAGGTCCCTGCCCAGATGAATGTGAAACTCTCTGCTTAACAGGGAAGCTAAGTGTTTGCAGCAACAAAAAGAAGTGTTTCATGTTTATGAAAGGAAAGAAATTTAAAAATAAACGTGCAAGTATATTTCCTCAAGCCCTACCTGCCTCCCCCAGATAGTCCACAGTCCTTAAGAGAAAAAAAAAACAACTCTAGAGGAATTGCAAAGGTAGAAAAGCCACAGTTCTCTCCAGTTCCATCTTACTGCAAAAGGCAGGACATTAAAGTAATAATAATACTATTGGTGAGTATTTGCTGCAGGCACCAGGCTAAGCTCTTTCTATTCATCATACCATTCAGCCTCACCAGCAGACCTTAGGGAAAATGCAATTATTTCCCATTACATGAAAAAGGAAATGGAGTCTTAGAGATAATTGTTAATTGCCTTTGGCTACATAGTAAGTGGTAGACCATTAACTCCAAGACAGTTGGACTCCAGAGCCCACACTCAACACTTTTCTGGCCTCAGATCTGCAGTGAAATCACACGTCTTACGTTGATAATCATTTACTTTCAAACTCTGACTGCTGTTCCACATAGAACTGGACATACACATCCATTACTAATAGCGCACAGAACATTTCCTTAAGATGCACTGAACAAAATGATGAAATGTTGCCAAAGTAATATATTAACTGGGCTTCCTAGTTCATCCTGCCTTGTTTTTTGTTTTTTTTTTGGTTTTTTCTGGCAAGAAGTTGTGCTAGAAGCAAGAACAGCCTCCTCTGATAGTGATCAGGTTCCCACCAACTCCTTGATTGATTTCCTCCTTGCTAGAGTATGACTTTTTAAAATAACTCTTATGAAGCATTTAAAATAAAATCAACTAATGTGATTTTACATTAAGATGATCATTATTCCTATATCGCCTGTTTTGGGTCACAGGATTATACAGCCTCAGTCCTTTCTGCTTATGAGGGGCTTTGTTAGCTCCACCATGAGTCAAGTATTCTCATGAGTATTGGATCATTCTGCTTCCCCATCCCAGGTCCCGGAGGCAGGTACCAAACCCAGGCTGAGAGGCAGCTTCTCCAGAAGCATCCAGATATTGATTAATACAAGAGACTTATTTGCTAGGAAGTATCTCATGGTTCAATCGTTGGGCACCGTGTTTGAGTGTCTGAATTTCTCAGTGGTCATCAATTCAGCCTGTCCAGATTATACGTACCTAGAATATCCCACATTGCTAGTATCATCTAATTTCAGCAGGAAATTGGTCCAAAGTCAATATTATGAGAACAAAACTCTGGACTTCACTTTAGCTGTGATCAGCAACTCGCTCCAGGATGAAAGGGTTTGGGGATTTTTTTTTCTATTTTTTAAAATAAAACACATTTAAGCCTTTTTTTTTTTTTTTGTTACTTTGCTCCAACAGCTACTTTTTGTGCTTATATTTCCTCCCAAGAGCAGAAAGGCTGAAAACCAATTATCAAAGATTAAGAGGAGACATCATTACTCTTTGTTCTACATATTTTAAGTATATGTCAATGATCTATACTGTATTTGTAGTACATGGAATGATATTCATTTGTAAAAACATAGATATTTTATGCTTATTATAAAATATCTTAATTTTAATAAGCTACCAGTATTTAACTCTATATAGATAAACACATTATTGCTTCAGATCTTAAAGTGACATTTTTAAGAAAATTAAAAATACAATTATGATATGATCTAGGAATTCCATATATATATCCAAAAGGACTGAAAGCAGAATTCCAATAGAAATTTACCCATCCATGTCCTTCATCCTGCATGATTCATAATATCTGAATAACAGAAGGAACCCAAGTGTCTACTGGTAGATTAATGGATAAATAAACATGATGTGGACATATGGTAAAATATTATTCAACCTTAAAAAGGAAGGAAATTCAAGGACTCCTGGACCATACCAGCAAAAGTGAAGGAATATAATCTGCTGTGATTCAAGTAGAAACTTTTATCTGTGATTACAGAGTATATCTAAAATTATAAAAATTTAAAAAAAGAAACCCTGACACGATACAACATGGATGAGCTTTGAGGACGTTGTACTGAGGGAAATAAGTGACAAAATTACAAGTATAGTATCTCCTATGAGATACCCAGAGAGGCTGAATTCAGAGTCAGAAAGGAGAATGGTGCCTGGCAGCAGCTGTGGGGAAGGGTGGGAAGTTACGGTTCAATAGGTATAGAGTTCCAGTTTCATAAGGTGAAGGAATGTCCGGAGAGAGATGCTGGTGACGGCTGTACAATGGCGCTAATGAACTTAATGCACACTTACAGGCAGCTAAAACAGTAAATTTCGCTATATGTATTTACCATAATTTTACAAAATATTTTAACTGAAAGTTGTACGGTGCAGTTTAAAATTATCAATGAAATGACTTAATAATATCTAAGTAGCCCTCTTTATGTTTTCTGTCACCAAATGTACTATTTATTTTATATGACTTTAACACTGTTATAGTACTTCCCATGTTTCAGATATTGTGCCAAGCACTTTCTGTCTGTTAATTAGATTTGATCTTCATGTTCACCCTACAAGGTAGATACTATTATGATCCCCATTTTATAAAAGATCCAAACACAGAAACCAGTCAGTTCTACTTAGAACAGTTAGCCAAAATTTATACTAAGTAGCTCTATCAAAATTTTTTTTAATTCTACATGAGCTTTGTAGAATTTCTCATGTGGATAAAGCTAAAACAAATCAGAACTGGTTTTTCCTTTGGAAGGAATATAAAGAGAACTCAGCCAGGAAATGTTACCTGAAAATTCCTTAGAAATAACCACTGATGATTTTATAGAAGTTAGATCCTCTCAAATCCCTGGTATGATTGGAGCTCTTTTGTAAAACATCTGGTGATAATATTCATTATTGTGTATGCATGGTCTACGTATAAAATGTTACTGTACAGCTAGGAAAAACAATATTAGAAGACACTGAGTAGAAGCACATCAACTTTAAATACCTTCATCAAATTTAAATACCTTTAAATACCTCAATTTTTATTTTCCACAATATAGACTTTGCTTTTTTATTGTTAGAGAATTCTGTCAGTGCATTCCAACTGCTAACAGGTCTGCTAACAACTGCTAACTGTCTTCTTTGAACTTAAAAGCAGCTTTCAGCTTTGGATCTTGATGTGAGCTTTATAAATAATGACTCTAATCATTGCATTACATGGCATTGTTATAAGTTATAAATTCTCAGGCACACCCAGCGGTGTACAATTAATTCCACCCACAGGTATCAAAATAAAGCATGGAGAAGGGAAAATGCTCTCCATAACCTGTCCAGCAAGGAAAAACGGATTGAGAACTGTGAGAGATTCTCCAAGAAAAGCAGAGGGTGCCAGAGCTCAGGAGTTCCTCACAGCAAAGTTAGAGATTGCTGCAGAAAGAATAACCATGTCTTCCACAGAGGAGCATCAAAAACTTAAGGAAACAAGTTAGCACGCACCCTAGAGCCCTGTATGAGCTATAAGTAGCTCTGAGAGCCCAGACCCAAGAGCCCACCTAGGGCCCAAAGGGCTCTAAACCTGAAAAAGGAAAATAGACACACAACCTGCGTATTTATCTAGACTATCTCAACCAGATGTCCTGTTCTTCTAGGCAATCAAAAGAGAAAATATAATGAGAAAAATGCAATTTGTAAAGGTTTACTGAGTGAAGTGAATCTTGTACCCACCTTGTGGAATGTATCACTTCTAAATGGCATGAATTTTCCAGAACTCTTGGGTGGTATTATTTTTATTTCTGGCAACAGTTGGACTTGGATGAAAGGACTGGGCAAGGCTAATGTGACTCCTTTGCTTACAGACTGTGGGTTGAATGTACACAAGCAGTGTTCCAAGCACGTTCCCAACGACTGCCAGCCTGATCTCAAGAGGATCAAGAAGGTGTACTGCTGTGACCTCACCACGCTCGTGAAAGCTCACAACACTCAGAGACCCATGGTGGTTGACATATGCATCCGGGAAATTGAAGCAAGAGGTTTGGAAAATACTCCCTACTATAGCATTACAGTGATTTTATTTTCTGGCTTGTTTTGATTGTTGCCAGAAAACTGACTCACACAGCTCTTGTTGGGAAAATGACCTATGTACATGTAAAAACACACACACAGGTAAACTAAATCCTGCCAACTATACTAGTTTTCATTTCCTATATAAACCATACATGGATGCATTCAGCAAATGTTTACTGAATAAGTAGCTATGTAGCAGACACAAAGGGTATAAATAAAACTCACCATTCTCAACTTAAGGCAATTAATACTATACTGTGGAAATTAGAAGAGCAAATAAATATATGTTGTGGGTACACATATCCAAACACTGTGAAATCACAAAGGAAGATATTTCATCTCAGTTGAGGATAATTAAGAAAAGGTTAAGATGGGGTGAGGTTTTAATTTGCCTTAAAATGTGCTTCCATTAAATAATAAAAAATTATTGATCAACACAAGTCCCCTACCATATAAAAATTCAGTTCGCTTCTGTTTATTTGAAAGAGCACAGTCAAAAGATTATAAAGATCAATGCAATGAAAAATCAAGGTGGCAAGGAAGATAGAAACATTTTCCCCCTCCAAAAAGAAGGCTGTTTGTATCATGCTAGAATTACCTTTTCTTTCTTTCTTTTTTTAATTTGAAAGTTCTTCAGCATCAAATATTCAGTGACGTGCTCAACTGGGTCTGGTTGGGGAGAGGTTGAGTTTCAGGCTGTAACTTGCATAATTAAACCATAATTATTTTATATTTTGCTATACTTGTATCCATTATTGATCTAAACTGGCTTAATATATTCTGCAGGTATTTATTCATTGGCCACCTATCTTATTTTTTCCAAAACAAAACAAAACAGGATGTCATAGTTTGTTATCTCAAGCCTTTTCAAGATAGGAAATTATTTTATCTGTAGCATGAAAGCCACAGCGATTCTGTTCTCTGAGAACTGACTCATTTAATCTTACATTGTAAGAAATGGCTCCAGTAATGAAAAGAGGGGAACTTAACGGATGCTTTGGGATCTGGTGAAGGAACTGATGGAAAGGCTCACTAGCTAAGAAGAAAGGAGAGGTGTCCCAACTCTGGATGAGGAACTGGGACAAGTGGCCTTGGGCCCAGCTGTTTGGAAAACACTACAGTTTAGGGGCACAACCAAGAACAGGGACTGTGCTGCTCTGATAAATATTGAATAGCACAACTCCTATAGAATAGATAGAATAGCACAACTCACAGTTTATGCCAAGGGAATCATAGCAAAGGGAATGGAGTTACAGACATCTGAGGACCAAGCATGCAAGTAGAACCTAGTAATAGGCTGGAAAAAAAGTCATTTGAACCATTCTCAGCTGCATGGCACCACTGCCAACATGGCCTCGAGCAAATTACTTACTCTGCTTAAATATCTGTTCCCTCATCTGTAGAGTGGAAGCAGTTGTACCTTAGAAAGTAGTTGTGAGGAATAAAATAAGTTGACATGTATCAATGACCTAGTACAGTGCCAGATACACAGGGTTTGACCTGTTCTTTTTCAACTTTTCTTGGAATAACCAACTTCTGTAACTCTACCTCCAAATCTGTCTGAATCTATTATAAACCCAGTAAGTTTCACTGCTGTCCCAGAGACCCTGAATAATAGTGTCTTCAGTAAGATAAAAATTATTAATGATAGAGGTCTGTTTATTTTATGCCATAGTCCAGGTACCCAGAGGCAGTCCAGGGCTGGTGAGCGGTTCCCCAGTGGCAGGAGCCCAGGCCCTGCAACTCGTTCTTTGTCATGCTTGAGGGCTGCCCTCATCTGCATGACTGCCACCATCCTATCTGCACTGAAACCAATGAAAAGAGGGAAAGTGCAAGCTCTCCCCTTGAAGGCTATAGCCTACAGGCTGTACCCATTACTTCTGTTCTCTTTGCATTGGCCTGAATTGAATGGCAACTGTGAAAATTATGGTTTTAACAATCGTTTCCATTATAACCCGGGAAAGGAGAACAAATACTGAAAGGGCAGTTGGCAGTCTCCGCTGCTCTAACAAACTCCAACCCACCCCTGAGGACTTCCTTGAAGACCTCCCTGACCCCCTCTGTTAATCAGCAAGCAGGGTTAGTTGCCCGCTTCTGTGCACCCCCGTGGATGCTGTGGCCTCGCCTCTATTGGTACATCCTCCCACTTTGCTGAGAGGAGCCTGCATGCAGCACCATCTAGTAAACGCAACACCCAGGTTTCATCTTACCTAGACAACTAGTCTTCGAAGCAGCTGATGTCAACCAAGAACATCTGTCGTGGTCACAGGACAGACGAGAAGCATGTCCTACATGTATTTGTTGTCTCTGATGCAAACTCCTACAAAGCTTTGCTCATAGCAGATAGTACACACTAAAGAAATGTTTGCCAAATTAAAAAAATATATATATGTTACTTATCCAGAGTTTGACAGATTCTACTGCTGGAACAACACAAACTCTGCTTATTTTTGCTATCGCTACAGTTCTGATAGCAGCTAATTTTTGACATACAAGGTATAAAACCTGGTCCTGCATTCCTTCCGATGTTTTTGTTTTGAGTGTGTGTGTGTGTGTGTGTGTGACTGTGATAGGGTTAGGACATTTCTTACCAAATCAATAAATTTGAGAAGCAGGAACTAAGTCCTCCTTAGCCTAAATATACAATGATCAAATTTCTAGTATCAATAAATGAAATTTTATTTTTCTACGTGTTTATTTGATCAGTTACCCAAAGGCAAAACAATTAAATCAATCACACTGAGCTTTCAGCTTACTGCCTTACTGTTACTCGTAAAAAGCTATAAAATTTGGATTTTTCTAATATATTTTGCACATGTACCTGGCACAGTGCCTCGTACAATAGAAAATACAGCTTACAAAGACGCTCAGAAGAAGGGAAGGTTGGGTGGAATGGGTGCCCAGCAATCTGATGAACAAAGGAAGTAGGGGACTGTGGTTAATGAGAATGTTAAATACCAGATCACTTGGCAAAGCCAGGCAAGACGATCAGGTGTCCACTGAGATCTCTACTCTTAACCAGCAAATGAAGACAGACTCCTGTGGAAGCTGGGACTGACAGTCCAAGTTCTGACGCAACAGTGTGTGATATATAAGATCACTAATGATGTTTCCTCATTTCCTGATTGCACGTAGTGCGGATGTAAAAATTGGAGTCTTTCATTACATGTCTCAGGAAGCTGAAGTCTCTCTCTCTGTCTCTCTCCCTCCCTCTGCCCTGTAGGACTGAAATCAGAAGGCCTGTACAGAGTCTCCGGATTCACAGAACACATTGAAGATGTCAAAATGGCATTTGATAGAGGTAAGCATGTGCCTTCTTGAATGCCATCTGACTTATCCTCAGCAACCTCTCTGTTGGATTCAGACTTCATTCATAGTGAGAACAGGGTTTCAGAACTACTGAGTTGTTTCTCAGAAAGCTGAGGAATGATGCTTTAAAAATCTCTCAGTTAAATTTTTCTAAAAATCTCTCAGTTGGATTTTTCTAATGTATTTTGCACATGTACCTAGCACAGTGCCTAATACGATAGGAAACATGGCTTACAAAGATGCTCAGAAGAAGGGAAGCTTGGGTGAAATGGTGTTTCTGGGGGAAGTGTTTCCTTAGATGTTGCCGACAGGTGGCCACATGAAGAAGTCAGTTTAAATACTGTGTGAATGGGCAGCCAGTCCACAGGGTACCAGAGCACCCTTCTGATCCCCCTCTCAGGATCCCACTGAGGACTCTTCTTAAAGCTCCAAAGCAGGGAGCAGGGGATGGGTGGTCCTCGCCCTGAAGGAGGGGAAGCCAGTGGAGTTCAGCAGGTAGCTCCTTTGTTCTTTGTGACTATGATTCATAGTCTCCAGTTCATATTATCTCCTAGTTCAGTTATTAACCAACCTGGAGAACTTGTTCAGGATGTAGATCACCATCCTCAGGACTCATTCACAGAGCAGCACTAGCCCAAGCACCTATATTTCTAGTGAACAATCCAAATCACCCTGGTGCCCTGGCTTCCAGGATGGAGCCTCCCTGGGTAACATGGTATACAAGGTCTTGGATGATTTGGCCCTACCTGTTTGGTCAGATTCTCTCCAGTTCCTCCTCCCTATTGTCCTTTATACTCTAGTGCTCCTGAAATACACCTTCTCTATTGTCATAAAGGTACACTTTGGCTCATATTGTCCTGTCCATTTGGAATATGCACCTATCTTTGCCTGGTCCACCCCTTTATATCAGGGACTAAGTGTTTTGTCTTTCACGAGGCTTCTTTGATCACCCCAAGATGATCTAAGAGCTCCATCTCATTGGCCTGTGCCCCTCTGTGTTTTTCACCTGTCTCCAGCATAGCAGCCCATTTCCTTGTAATTGTTGGGTTATGTGCCTTACTCCCAGTCTAATTAGAACTATTCAGAAGGGGGTGTCTCTTTTCTTCCTTGGTTTACAGGGGCTTAACTATACTTGGCATGTGGTAGATTCCCAATAAATATTTGCTGAATGTGTAAATAAGGGGATCACTATGACATGTCTGCTGTGCTTTTACTCTTTTCTGTACATCCACAGTTTTATCTTCAATACCAAATTTGCTGAGGCATTTGTTCTTTTAATTCTCCACACAAATGATGTTGATAATCTCCATACAATGGAAATAATTCTTTTGTCCAAAAAAACTCATAGTCTCTGATAGTTCAAATGGACTGGTATTTACTCATGATAAAATAAAAAATAAAAAATGTCTTGAGAATTTGTAAAAAAAAAATAGTAAAAAATATAACCTAACTGTATGTGAGGCAAGTTTAAAGTTCTCTAGGTTGAAGCTCTCTCGACCAGGGGAGGAAGAGTCAAATTCAAAAACAACTACAGTGACCCTAAAAACAATAGTAAAAGTTGGGTACCAGGCAGTTTTGTTTCTCCTCATTGCTCCCCATATGCAGACAACCAGCTCAGCCAGGCCTGGTGTGCTATCTATTAGAAGTGTGTTCAATAATTATCTTGCTCATGTGACCTTCAAATCCAAGTTGAAAGAACATTGATGGAGATGTAGTAGATCTTTGATACTTTCTTAAAATTTCCATACAAAGTTGTTATTCTATTATGAATCTTTATGCCTGTCAGTGCTAAATTTCTGTTTGGCAAATTATCAGGGGCTGGGAACCAAGGAACTATTTCCTGTCTATTCCATTGCCTTTGTGCCTGCATGTGTCCCAGACCCTACCTCTCTCTCACCAACCATTCGTTACTTCCTGTCTGATCATTAGAAGCCAGAAAGAGCTGAAACTTGTCAGGTAGCACTGACTGTTGGATGGGAAATGTATCACTTTCTGTGCATGCTTCAACTCGGTGAAAGAAGGTCCTAATTACAACTTGGATCATTGACTGTTTTTCAGATGGGGAAAAGGCAGATATATCTGCCAACATCTATCCAGACATAAATATCATCACTGGAGCTCTGAAACTGTACTTTAGGGACTTACCCATCCCTGTCATCACTTATGATACCTATTCCAAATTTATAGAAGCAGCAAGTAAGTATGGAAAACTAAGTTTTCATTTGCACTAAACATTTCAGTACCATGTTTTTGATCTTAAGAAAGTTAAAACTCAGGACAGTTTCATTTATTGCATGAGCGCTTGTTTTGCCAAGTGAGTGCACAGTGGTCCAATCGTCAGAAAGCCAGCAGAGTGCCCCAGCTGAGCTGAACCGCTTCTAAGCCAGCTTTGTGCACAGAAGTTGGGTACCAGGCAGTTTTGTGTCTCCTCATTGCTCTCCATATGCAGCCAACCAGCTCAGCCAGGCCTAGATAGATAATGCTATCCATTGAAAGTGTGAATACTTTTGTAGTAAGAAATTATATATTCCCCCAAGGACAGCTATGGAGATTAACCACTTTCATCCATGCAGCAGAATCACACTGTGAATTCATTCAGGTTGCATCCAAGTCTCTCCAGTGATGCGGTCCAAAGTTAATGGGAGGCCAAAGTTATACTGTGTCAAGTTCTATTCGAGGACCTCTCACCAGTGTCTTCTAGTTTATGCTTCTCATCTGTCCCCTGAGGCAAATGTTACAATCCACATTTACAGAGGAGAAAAGTCAGATGTGGAGAGCTGAGCTCACAGGTCCAGGAATGGACTGTCAGCCGCAGTTGCTCGTTCAGGGTTCACAAAGAGGGCTCACTGCTGTGAGTGGAGGGTGAAAAGCAGGATGTCAGGGAAAGGGCTACTTTTTGCCCAGAAATAGATGATGCTAACAAAGGAGAGATTCGGATCTTGAGATGCATGATACAGAAGTGAAGCCCACTTTGAGAAACTTTTTTTTAATATGAGGGTTTTTAAAAAATCTTTAAAGGTTAAAAAGTATAGTTATATGCTACTGGGTATGCTAATAAGCTACCTGGCAGGAGAAAACAAGCGTGAGTTGGGATTTGTGCATGGTACATTTTCCAGATGAGTTATGGCCTTACTCCCTGGTGAGAACCTTCTTTCCCAGGTTCTGGTAGCCCTAGGTAGACAAGATCCCAACAGCTTGGTACCTTCTACCCCAGGAGAAATAGCTGGAGGGTTTTCTTTGAGTACATGCCAGTACCTATCAGAGACCCCAAATCCAGAAGTGTGCAGGCTTCCTCCCATTGTTATCATGCCTGGTGTCTGTTTCCTAACCTGGGCTGAACACCAGGGGTAAGCCTGCCAGAACGTTAGTGACAAGTGCCTTCGATGTAGACTGAGTCGGCCAGCCTGCCTGCCAATGTCCTTGCATTGCAAAATTCATTCAGTTATAGAAGCCTGCCAGGAAGGACTTACTTGACAGTGTTAGTGGCACACCACCATGTGTGGTAGAATTAAAAGTAGAGCTTATGGTAGTGAGATCTCCAGCAAATCCAATGTCCAGAAGACAGATAGAGCACACACAGACTGCGCATGTGCCCTCACACTGTAAGCATTGTATTGGGATGCCAGTTCCCGGAGGACAGGAACCGTGTCCAGCCTCCAGCCCCCCACATCATGGAAACACAGTAAGTATCTGACACTTAGCCTTAGACTCTTTCTGGAATGCGGCAAGATGCAAACAAACATTACTTTCCGTGAAAGAGTACCTGAAATTGCATGAATTTATTAGACTGTCCTCATTCATGGTCAAGACAAAGAGACATTGTCACTTCTTTGGACGTTCTAATGTCACAGCTCTGTGCTAACATCTGTTCTGTGTGATCTTCACAGAAATTTCCAATGCAGATGAGAGGCTGGAAGCAGTCCACGAAGTGCTGATGTTGCTGCCTCCCGCCCACTATGAGACCTTGCGCTATCTAATGATCCATCTCAAAAAGTAAGCATCACTTCTCTTACTGATCTGCCCCTCAACTGCCCCTGGGGCAGCTAATGCATGAGGGAAACTTGACTATAGAGTGGGCAGACACTCTATTTAAAGTGGACTGTGCTGCCTTCCTGGGCCTGCCCCAGTTGTAGCTGCTAGAATCCATGTTCCACGCTGAGGGGTGCTTCATGCACTTTCCATGGGGTATGGGCATTCATACAGGCCTGGACTGAAGGAAGTTGAATGTCTAATCCAAAGAAGTGAATCCAAGACTGAAATCAAGGCAGATTGATCCAGAGTTTACACTCTTGTCTTAACTGCTTACACTCCACGGCTAGGCTGCTTATCCTCCATATTGCACCTCCCTATGTGTGCTGTTTGTCTCGTCTTTCTCTTGCTGTTCCCCTCAGGCTCAGACTCCTGGGCCTGTGATCTCTTGTTTTCTTTGTTTTTGTTTTTTTTCCGGGTACCAGGAATCGAACCCATGACCTTGCGCTAGCCAGGCAGACGCTGTGCTGCTGAGCTAAATCCCCAGCCCTATCTCTTGTTTTCTTGATGTATGAGTTCTCTGTCTCCAAGAAACAAATTGCTACCAAACTTTGTGGCTTAACACAGTAAATATGTGTTATCTCCCTCATCTGTGGGCCAGAGATCAAGCTGTGTCTTAGCAGTGGCCTCTGGTTCAAGGTCCCTCATGAAGTCAGCCAGGCTGCAATCTCATCTGCAAGCTTCATGGAAGGGAATTTCTACTTCCAAGCTAGCTCATGGGTTGTTGGCAGGGTCCAGTCCTTGAAGGCTGTTGTCCTGAAGGCCACTGTCCTCTTTGACTGATGCTGGAGATATCCCCAGCTGCTTCCCATGGGGGTTCCCCCACAGGTAGCACACAAGATGGCAACTGGCTTCCCTCAGAGCAAACAAGCAGGAGGATCCAAGAGGAAAGGCTACCTTTTGAGGAAGTGACATCCTGTGGCTTTTGCTGTTTTATATGTTAAAAGCCAGTCATTAGGCCCAGCCCTTATTTACAGGAGACAAGGACTGTGGGGCCCTCTCAGAGGACATCTATCATGATACGTTATCTAGGTAGAGCACAGGAGGCAGAGGTGGAGACTTTTGAATGTTTACAACACACTAGCACTCTTGGCTCCAGGCCCCTCCCTAAACCGTGGATCCCTTTTCTTTCCTATACATTTGTAATGAGAACAAGGAGTTGGTCTTTGAATGTTGGAGGGATCAAAGCATATCTGTGTGTCTCTCTTTGTGTTTCTGGAATATACATGACAGCAGCCCATTCTTAGATAAAATGAACCAAAAAGTATCTATATTGAACACGTTACAGATCTGCTCTGCCTGTGAACAGAAGCAGGTTGAGAATAATGTAGGAACACTAAGTTCTTGGATTTTACTTTGCTGCCTTATTCCGACTATTGCTCAGACCAGTGATGAGAGATTGTAATACACAGTTCAAAGACTCCCATTTTGGTTAATCTATTGAATGTAAGAGCAGAGTATAAGTAAGTTTTGGACAAGTACTGTAATAGACTATGAGTATCACACTAAGCTTTCAATTAGCTGTAAATTATTTCTTTCACTGTGGTTCATGCCCAGTTGTTACAATTTGGGAGGCAAAGTACCAGTATCAAGAAAAATGCTGGCATCTCCCAGATGAATTGGTAAATGCCAATAATCTTATATTGCCATTGTGATGTGTTTACTAGCTAGCTTGTTTGGTCAGATGTAGTGTCTGACTTCATAGGAAAAGGTAAAGATTTTAACAGTGAAAAATGTCCTCTCTTCTACCTCCCTCTTACCTTTGCAGCACGAAAGTGACTCCAACTGAGTTGACCTTCTTAAAACAATACTAAGTGGGAAACCCTTACTAGCTCTCAGGGGATAGACAGCAAGGAATGCCCTTCTGTGTAAAACCTAAGTGCATTTTAATTGTCTCTAGCTCTTTGGAGATCTGCTCCTTTTTAGATCTATGCTGAGCACTCTAAAATCTAAATTCTTGAAAACAGGAATCTGAGAGATAATTATTTTATTCTATAGGAAAGTAGTAAGCCAGCTTAGGGGGTTAGATTTCATTCTGAAAGTCCCTTTAGTTTTTGTCTGGCAATTGAAAAGATGATTTTTAATTCCAACAATGACTACTGCTCTGGAACTCATCCTGGGGTAGCTGGAAGTAATGTCCAACTGCTTTCCCGTCTGGCCACTTTCCAGCCGTTCCCCTGTCCCCTGATAACTGCCCAGCTCTTCCTAAGTACACTGCATGGCAGCCCGCTCTGTAAGCAGCTTTCTCCTCCACTGCCACCCCTGCCAGCAGACGGGGGACCTGCTCTCAGCTTTCCATTTTCCAGTTTACAGACCAGTGAAACACAATGGAAGAAAGATTTCTATATAAAGCCCCTGATGGCCCCACGGGGCTTCAGTAATCTTCTGTTCCCTCAAACCGATATCCCTTAAATGATAGCTCTATGCTTTTTTAGTAAGGATGACTGATTTTCTAATTTTTAAAATTGTGTCCATGCTAGATTTACATAAGACAGTGTCACCAACTAACTTAAAAAGAAAACCAAATCAGGAAATTACCTTTTAAAAAAAACACCTTTCTGCCATTCTGATGCTCAGGTTACTTTTTTATTTTTTAAATTCCTGAGCCAGTAATGGTCTTCAATCTTCAGTGCCTCAACAGTGTGTAAATTCATCCACAAATCTACACAATGTCTCTGTGTATCTGTGTCTGTTTTTCAGAGTAACTATGAATGAAAAGGACAATTTAATGAATGCAGAAAATCTGGGGATCGTGTTTGGGCCCACCCTGATGAGGCCTCCTGAGGACAGCACCCTTACAACCCTCCACGACATGCGGTACCAAAAGCTGATCGTGCAGATTTTGATAGAAAACGAAGATGTTTTGTTCTAATCCAACAGGGAAATGAGCTGAATGGCCCCAGCCTCATCCTAGCCGATAGAGTGAAAGAAATAAAAACATTTCTTCACTTGATTTCTTTTTCAAACAAGTGACAGAGTTTCCTGGACCACAGTGGATTGCAGAGTTGGGTACTGTGTCTCATAGACACGCCCTCCTCCACGCGAGAACAGGGTGAGGGCGAGAGAGCCCCGGCCTCGGGTCTTTTGCTGTGCCTCGTATGTATGTTTGTTTTGCTGGAAGAGTGATTAATAAATCTTTCTTTAACTTATTAAAAACAATGTAGACCGTAAGCTTCAATCTCATCAGTAATAAAGGGGAACTTAATTCATAAAGGTACTTGATACAGTTATACATTTTCCACTTACAGAAAGAAGACAATTCTATATGTTAAATGTTAAATGAAACCTATATTGTAAAATGTATTTTTATTTTAGCTGCAAGAATGTTATTTTATTTTAGCAAATAGAACTCAATGCAGTGCATTGACTATTACCCTATGTACCTTGTCCTGCGTCCTTGCTGTGATGCCCTGGAAGTTTGACCACAAATGCAGTATTATCTTGGCATACCTCTGCCCTTATTAGTGCTTTTCAATGAAATTTCACTGCCACATGTGTCCCTGCTTTTGATAGTTTTTGCTCTTAAGCACCGCCATTCTGCTATCGTATAGTATAGATTTATAACAATTATAGGGTGGACTAAAACATCCACAAATTTTCTTTCCATGAAAATTTTGTGAATTTCCAACATAATTATGGAGTCAGTCCCTGCCTTCCCATGTAATGAGTGTGTAACCCAGAACATGCAGAATGTGGTCATTTTGTGTAAACTGATTTGAGGACACTGGATGTATCTGGACCATGAAAACAGCACTTTTTCCTCTTTTCTTTTCAGCTAAACCCTCAAAATCCATATGTTAATGACAAGTTGAATTTTTGTCACATTCACATACGACAAAAAGTGACCCTGTAGAATAATTTTTAATTTTTTTGCTTTTGTTTTATAAACAAACCTATTTTTAAAGTAAAGAATGAATCATGTTGCTTTTTGCTAAATATGTGTTCATCCTTGAAAAAAGTAATTCTATATGGGAAATAATTTCATATAATTCTATTACTTTAGTTAGATCCTGTTGGTTATATTTATCTCGGCATAAGCCTTTTCCACCAAGATTTCTATATTTTGTAACGTAGGTAAAATATTTAAAACATCAAAAACTGTAAACCTAGAGTTTTTAAAATCCAACTGCAATGTCTTTCCCTGATTGTCTGAGATGAGTCGTGTAATTACTCACAAGTCTTGCTTTGGAGTGACCACAAGAGATGCACTGTGTGTGGTATGGCATGAGAGGAGGTACACAGCGTGGCTGTCATACTGGGAAGTCCCAGGGCCCTGCAGATGGACTCTGTTGTCACCTGGGGGTCAGCATTGTTCAGCCTGCTCCCTACCATTAGCCTTCCTCCCAACTGTACAAATTCATCTGTTGTAGCTTATGTACTTCTTGATACTGTCAAAAAAATTATCTGGAAATGGTTTTATTTTGTGAAGTGAATAATACTTTGTAATTTATGATAGTGTAAATGGAAGGAAAAGCATTACATGTATTAAATTCTTCTGTCTATCATTTTGGAGTATGTTCAGAGAAGTGGTGTCTGCAGGTGGCATGGGGAGAATCTTTAAAATCTTATTCTCAGGGAGATTTGGCAATAGATTTTCTATCATTGTCAAACCAGAGGAGAAAGCAGAATCAGCTCATTATTGCGTTCCAGTCACCTCCACCAGCTTCTTGCTAGAGAGCTTGCTTTGAGGTTATATGATTCCTCCATCACCTTCTAGAAGGCCAGTTGTGCTTGTGCCCTCCACGGAGAGGTAAGGAGTTTCAGAGAATCACCACTGGCTGCTTAGAGGAGCAGAATGAGGATTCTGAAGTCAGAAACTCCCAAGCTGGAATTCTAGACTTGCCTGTTACTAGCTGTACATGACTTTCAGAATGAGTTGGCTTATTTGAAAAAGCAGGCACAACATTTTAAATGAAATCATGATCCAAAGCAATCAGTAATAGTTATTTCCCACTATTTTAAAAGTGATGCCTTATAAAGGAAAAGGATATGACATGGGGACGAGTTAAAAGAAGCATGAGAAGACGAGGATTTGTCTCAGGTTAAATCCAAGTCCAAGACATACTAGGGGATATTATATAGCAAAGTTCTGTAATATGTGATGAGGTTCACTTAACTCCTTTTGTCGAATGTGATTACAACATTTGATCCCTCTGCCTTGCTTTAATCTGAAGCCTGCTCGCCCGTGCGTATCTACCCACCATCTGGCAGCCTGACATAGCTCCCCTTACCCAGTTTGACATCCCTACCAGGGATGGAGTCCTGGCAGTCACTCTGCCAGGAGTCAGTCTGATAGACCATAAAAGGTACAGCCTAATTCCTAGGAATCCACAGTTAAGATTGTGCACAAGTGACTTGGGGCAGGTGGGACAGGGGTATGATGGGTGGGAGGATGGGAGGGTACAGCTTTTCTTTCTCCATTAAATTCAGTGGACATTTCAGAGGAAGCAGGAGGTGAACCTAAGAAGGCATTGTAGAGAGGGGCTGGGAAGATACATGGCATACACTTGAAGGATTCCTGGGTTGTCCTGACCCTACTGAAAACCCAGATCTGGAGACTTATAAATTCCCATGCTCTAAACAGTACCCACTTTATAGCCATTTAAAAAACTTAACAGTTATTAGTTTTCAACAAATACTTGTCAAGCATTTATTTTTAGGCCAGATACTAAATACTTGGAGGCAAGGAAAAGGCTTATCACACGGGAAGGATTAAATAATAAGTTTAGTCTAGTGGGCAAGAGGAAATTGGTCATGTTAAGGCCTTTAGGTTCTAATATAAGGAGAGTGTGAGCTACTAATACTTCCTTTTTAAATAGACTTTTTAATTGTGTAATGGTTTTATATTTGCAGAAAAGTTGTAAAGAAACTACAGATTGTTCTTGTATACCCCTTTACACTTTTCAAAGATGGCTTACTTGATTATAGATCCAGCAAAGACCATGTCAGCAGATGGAGAGTAGTGAGAATTGCAGGGACTCAGTTAAATATTCACCACTGTGAGCCTGAGATGATGGTAGCTTGGACTGGGTGGTCACAAGGCAGACATAAAGAGAACTAGGTTATATGTAGGAAATAAAGTTGAAAAGGATGGGTTATAGATTGGATTAAGAAATTCAGGATAAGTCTCAGATTGCTTAATTTGGCAACTGCAATATTTACTGAGAATATATACAGGACATCTGGCTATTGGGGAGAGACAGAAAAAGTGGAAAAGGTTAGACATGATTAAATGAAATAGTGGAATTTCCAAGCAGAAGTGTTTCCTGAGAAATTGCATGAACAGAATTGGGCTAGAGACGTGGATTTGGGAGTGAATCACTAGAGATAATAATTGAAGACATGGGATTGAGTAAGAGTACTCAAGGAGACTGACGGGAGAAATGTAAGGGAGGCCACACTCACAGGTCTCTGGAACACCAGCACTCAGGTGAGAGGAAGAGAAAGAAGAAAACATAAATGTGGTCCACTTGAATGTAATGTTTACATGCTTTATAGATGCAAATAAGCCTCTGCTATGTCTGAATGTCTGTGTCCTCCTGAAGTTCCTTTGCTGAAACCTAATCCCCAGTGTAATGGCATTGGAGATGAGGCTGTGGGAAGGTGATTTAGTATAGTCAAAATCACACCTGAGCAGAGATGGAGCTCCCTTATTCAAGGTGTTTGGACATCTTAAAAGCAGTCAAGATTGTTTAGTAAAGATGCGGGCAATGGCTTTGCAACATTGCGGGAGTTTGTTCAAATTTTTGATGGCTTCACATAATATTTTATACTCTTCCAACCTTCCCTCATAATCTCAGGTCTCCACAGCCCCCTGCCGTAATTCTAGCTCCAACTCTGATGTAATAGTGTCTACACTATGAAACTCGTGAGGGACCTGCAACCAAGGTCCCTGGTGAGCATGCCTCTGACTGTCCCATTCAACTGTTTCAAATCTTTATGCCTGCTATACTTGTATCACATTGAAAGAATTTTATACTTCAGAATAAATTAAAGGCCTTCATCTCATTCTGGTCTGCTTTGCTCACCACTCTACCTACCCCAGCTCCTACCTGGCACTGTACCTAGCACAGAGCAGGCACCCCAAGCTTTTCTAAATTAAAGGCCTATTCCTTATATACAAATAATGTCCCATTTTGATTAAATGAAAGAGATGAATTCTGGAAGCAGAATAATCTGGAAATGCACATTTAGTCCTCTATGTCATTTGTAGCTGTGCCTAACATCCGAACCCTTCAGTGTTTTTGAAGCTTTCTCCCTAAATAGAGGCTTCTCCTTTGGAACTAAACCTCCTTAAGTAGTCTTCGCCATGTTCTTTCTTGTTTTCTCCAGGAGGAATGGTTAACCCTCAGAACAACTCAGTTTAAAGAACCTGAAGATGTAAGTCTCTAATTCAATAGCAGGATACACTGATAGCGGCAGCGTCACTGGACTAGAATCAAGAGCAGTGTAGACAGGAAGAGGTTAGGTGCTGGGTCTAGACAGCATCCTCTTTCAGTCCCAGCCTCATCGCTTTCTCACAGGGTGACTTCTGGAAAGTTACATTAATTTTTAAGCCTCACATTCCTTGTTGTTTAAATGAACTAATACCAGTTCTTATTCCCTTTATTGGGAATAAGTGTTATTGGGAAGGTTAAGACAATCTCAGGACGATGCTCACTATAAAGTTTGGGGCACAAAGTAAACAAGCAAATGCTTTTCAGAAAAAAAGAAATCAGCAGCTTGGAGAAGCATTTATGAGAGCATGTTAGCCATGAGTATCTTTTTTCTCAGTCTGTAAGACACCTGACTTATTGCTCTCTAGCAAGTGAGAAAATTATAGGAGTTTAGCAGTTTACATTGGCAGCCAATTCAAAGGCAAGCCACACCTGCCTCATGCAGAGTTGTGTGGGAGAGAAAGACAGCATGAAGTTTAGAGCCATGAGACGTGGCTGTGTCACAGGTGAGGCTTTTAAGATTTCTGAGCTTCAGATTTCTCCCTTTTGAAACAGGAAAAGCCCTCCTGCTGAACTCATCAGCCACGTGGGATTATCACCAAAGCAAGTGTGGAGCACTGTCACACCCCCTGACACCCTCAGTACCACCCTCTCCCCACCTCCCTTTATATTGCACAAGACCGCAGGTGTGTGTACACCTCCACAGTTGCTTCTGGCCCTACTTTCTCCTGGCCAATCACATCCACACTGGCTTGGAACACTGCCAACTAATCTGCATTATCCCCAAGATTCAGTAAGCTACTTGATGTCGTGTAACAAATCCCTTCTGCTTAAACTGTTTCTGATCTATTACTAGCAACCAAGGTCCCTCATGAACACACCTTGGACTCTGCCATTCAACTCTTCAGAATCTTTCTGTCGGTCATACTTGCATCATATTGAAAGAATTTTAAAATTCAGAATAAATTAAAGGCCTTCATCACATTCTCTTTTCCTCTTTCCCATTCCTTGGTACATTTTATACTGCTCCTACATATGTTCAGTGTATACCATGTTTTATAGAATGGTACCAAACCCGAGGCCTACATGATTCTATATTTGACATTTTCTCCTCCATATGATGTATGAGAAATGTATCCCTGTTCATTCATATAGATCTGAATCATTTTAACTGTCCTAAAATCTTTTATTAGGTAACTTATCGTTTCTTCTAGCAATAGATATTAGATCATTTCCTCCTTTTCTCTTGATACCACCAATTTCCTGAACATTCTCATGAAAGTCTGATTGTGCTAGAAGTGGAACTGCTAGACCATGGAGAATGTATATCATCAGATTGTTAATGCTCAGCAGTGTCTGAGAGTTCCTGTTACTCCAAATCCTTATCAACACTTGGCATTACCAGACCTAAATATTTTTGCTAATGAAGTTTCTCATCTGAGTCTGTTACCCAACAAAGAATGAGAACCATTCTTCCCCACAAATACCCTGTATGGTAACAAAACTCCCTTCTTGTCCCTATGAGATCATTTTTTCATAAAAATCACACATGGGTGCTGTTTTATTAAATGCCTTTTCCTGAAATCTCTAGGTCACATTTTCTCTTTTACTTGTTAACATGGTATATTATATTTAAAAAATGACAATGTTAAGCCATCCTTACACTCCTAAGAAACTTTTTACTTTATCATATGTGGTAAGTTTTTAAATATGTTTAAATATGGTACTTCTAAAAATTATGCTTCTAGCTATTTCTTTCTCTATTTTTAAATTTTGTATCATGGCTGGGTATATAGCTGCTGAGGTAGAGTACTTGCCTAGCATGTGCAAGGCCCCAAGCTCAATCCCCAGCAGTGCAAAAGACCAATTTTGATATCAACCTTCACATATGAAATTGACCTGTGCCTATGGAATTACATGTTTTTCTCTATCTTTCTTTCCTCTGAAAGAGTTTGTATAAGATTGGTAAAGTTAACTAGGTGTGGTGGCAGACACCTGTAATCCCAGCACTCAGGCTGAAGGTCATGAGTTCCAGGCCAATTTGAAGTATGTAGCAAAACCTTGTCACA